GGGAGGAGAAGTTACTATTGTTTGGAAGGGGAATCCCCTTCCATAAAGACTTTAGGTACCGAGTCCTTATCCGGGGTTGCTTCCCTTCTTTGTTTTTAATGGCACCAGGACCAGCTTGTCTTTAATCTTTGAAGAAGGCACCTTCTTCCCTCTCTCTTCCTCCTCCTGTGAAGCAATTTCCTCAGCTGTGCTCTGTTGCTGTTGCAGATGAAGGTCTTGCAGCTCTTCAGTGGTTAGCTCTTCACTGTGGTCCTCCACCAACTCTTCCATATCCTTGCCACACATAACCAACCCCATGGAATTCCCCATTACATTTCACAACATGTCTCTTGGACATCCTGGCAAGCTTGGCCACACGTACGCCACTTTCATATTTTTCTATGATTTCTTTCATTCTATCGTGTTTCTCACCGCTTAAATCCAAGGGAAATCACGAAAATCAAGGCTCTATTTTGATGAAAAATTTGCCGATCACCAAAATTCACGAAAACTGAGACTCGTGAAAACCGAGGGTCCACTGTAATAATATAATTCAACCTCTCTGCGCTTAGCAATGTACTCGTTTACTGACAACTCGGACTTACAATGGGCTCTCTGACCAGCATGAATACTTAAATAATGTATATTAGAGTTGATTTCCTCTATTCTGTTTATTACAATATACAGTAGGGCCCCACTTATATGGCAGGTTAGATTCCAGGCTATTACCAGAAAGCAGACATCACCGGAAAGCAGAATACCATTTTTACCACTTATAAATGCATATAAATGCCAGACAACAAGTTTACACTAACTTATATTAAGTTATTAATAGAACTAGGCATTAAAAAGCACGATAAAAAGTAAAATACATACACAGTACATTCATTACTTACCTTAAAATATTTGTTGTCTTAATGTAGGGTGAGAAGTGAGTAGTATTTACAGTACAGTGGACCCCCGCTTAACGATCATCTCCCAATGCGACCAATTATGTAAGTGTATTTATGTAAGTGCGTTTGTACGTGAATGTTTGGGGGTCTGAAATGGACCTATCTAATTCACAATATTCCTTATGGGAGCAAATTCGTTCAGTAATGGCACCTGAACATACTTCTGGAATGAAATACAGTGGACCCTCGACCAACGATGGCATCGATTAACGATAAATCCGACTAGCGATACATTTTATTGCAAAATTTTTGCCTCAACTAGCGCTAAAAAGCCCGACCAACGCTATTCGTTCCGTTCGAGACGCGTCCACTTTGGCCTGAGCGCGCCTCACTTGTCCCATGGGTGCCAGTGTTTACAAGCCAACCAACCAGCCAGCCAGCCACAGCGGTCGCTTCCAAACATACAATTGGAACATTTCATATTATCACAGCCTTTGTAGTGATTGCACCTGCAAAATAAGTCACCATGGGTCCCAAGAAAGCTTCTAGTGCCAACCCTACAGCAAAAAGGGTGAGAATTACTATGGAGATGAAGAAAGAGATCACTGCTAAGTATGAGAGTGGAGTGCGTGTCTCCGAGCTGGTCAGGTTGTATAGTAAACCCCAATCAACCATCGCTACTATTGTGGGCAAGAAAACGGCAATCAAGGAAGCTGTTCTTGCCAAAGGTGCAACTATGTTTTCGAAACTGAGATCGCAAGTGATAGATGATGTTGAGAGACTCTTATTGGTGTGGATAAACGAAAAACAGATAGCAGGAGAGAGCATCTCTCAAGCGGTCATATGTGAAAAGGCTAGGAAGTTGCATGACGATTTAATTAAGAAAATGCCAGCAACTAGTGGTGATGTGAGTGAATTTAAGGCCAGCAAAGGTTGGTTTGAGAGATTTAAGAAGCGTAGTGGCATTCATAATGTGATAAGGCATGGTGAGGCTGGCAGTTCGGACCACAAAGCAGCTGAAAAATATGTGCATGAATTCAAGGAGTACATAGACAGTGAAGGACTCAAACCTGAACAAGTGTTCAATTGTGACAAAACAGGCCTGCTTTGGAAGAAAGTGCCAAGCAGGACCTACATTACTCAGGAGAAAAAGGCACTCCCAGGACATAAGCCTATGAAAGACAGACTTACTCTGTTGATGTGTGCCAATGCTAGTGGTGATTGCAAAGTGAAGCCTTTATTGGTGTATCACTCTGAAACTCCCAGAGTGTTCAGGAAAAACAATGTCCTCAAGACTAATTTGTGTGTGCTGTGGAGGGCAGGCAAACAGTAAGGCATGGGTCACTAGGGACTTTTTCTATGACTGGTTACACCATGCATTTGCCCCCACTGTGAAAAATTACCTAACTGAAAAGAAATTAGACCTGAAGTGCCTCCTGGTATTAGACAATGCTCCTGGTCATCCTTCAGATGTGGCAGAGCGACTTTCTGTGGAAATGAGCTTCATTAAGGTGAAGTTTTTGCCTCCTAATGCCACTCCTCTCCTGCAGCCCATGGACCAGCAGGTCATTTCCAACTTCAAGAAACTGTACACAAAAGCTATGTTTGAAAGGTGCTTTGTAGCAACCTCAGAAACTCAACTGACTAAGAGAGTTTTGGAAAGATCACTTTACCATCCTCATTTGTGTAAACATTATAGGTAAGGCTTGGGAGGAAGTGACTAAGAGGATCTTGAACTCTATGGACAGATATGTTGTGCGACAGAAGTCCAGTGACTCTCAAGCTGGTCCTAGTGGCATTAAAAGAACAAGGGAAGTAACCCCGGAAAAAGAGTTGCTACCTCAAGTCCTAATGGAAGGGGATTCCCCTTCTAAACACTAAGAAGATCCACACCCTCCCCTCCTCCCATCCCATCAATCATCATCAGATCTTCAATAAAGGTAAGTGTCATGTATTCTATTCTTAGTATAGTAGTAATTGTGCATGTCTTCTTCAGTTTGTGCATATTAAAATTAATATTTCATGTGGTAAATTTTTTTTTTTCAATACTTTGGGGTGTCAGGAACGGATTAATTTGATTTCCATTATTTCTTATGGGGAAAATTAACTCGATTAACGATTATTTCGATTAACGATGAGCTCTCAGGAACGGATTAATATCGCTGGTCGAGGGTCCACTGTAATATCGTAAGCCAGGGGTCCACTGTATTTGTAAGAAGTCAGGTGTAGGTAGCCCTGGCTCCCCATCCCAAACTTAATATATGATATTAAAAGCAGCCCAGAGATAAAATGGACATACAGTACAGTACACTCATTATTTACTTTAAAACATGTGTAGTCTTATTTTAGGATGAGAGGTGAGTAACGTTTATTTGTAAGAAGTCAGGTGTAAGTAGCCGGTAGATGTAGCTATGTAGTCTGCCTGGCTACATAGCTGCACCCACCTACATAGCTATATGATATTTAACCCTTAAACTGTCCAAATGTAGAGCTACATTCACATGCGCAGCGCTCCGATCGTAGATCTACGTTTTATATTACATACATGTTTCAACCTTGGCATGATAAGCCTGAGCTGCCTAGACACGAGAGAATGAGTCTGTGCACTCAGCATGCACAGTATGACAAAATTTGGGGATACCGGGAAAAATGCGCTCTTCATTAAAAAAAAAAAAATTGTTTTTTCCTAAAATATTAAGAGTGGTACGCGCGTGAATGTTGATCTACGTTTGGACAGTTTAAGGGTTAATGCGGCCCAGAGCCATATTATTACCATTGACATACCTTGTTCACTGAGTTTAATCGTTTCTAACAACTACCTTTAGATGCCATCATAAACGAAGGGAGAAGTAATGAGATTCATACACGTTTTCTCTGGTGCTGGACCAGAGAAAACGTAATATTTTCCCTCTGCCCGGCTACCACACCTATAATAATAATAATAATAATGTTAAATTTATTGTACCGTGGGTGTATATATCATGCTGATATGCTATGTAACGTGTTTCTTATATAATTTTGAATAAAATATCATATATGAATTAATGAAAATGTCTATACAGTACAGTGGACCCCCGCTTAACGATCACCTCCAAATGCGACCAATTATGTAAGTGTATTTATGTAAGTGCGTTTGTACGTGTATGTTTGGGGGTCTGAAATGGACTAATCTACTTCACAATATTCCTTATGGGAAAAAATTCGGTCAGTACTGGCACCTGAACATACTACTGGAATGAAAAAAGTTCGTTAACCGGGGGTCCACTGTATTAACATAAAATAAGACATTTAATGTGCCCAAGAGTGATTATTATTATATAGTACAGGTTGGCCATCACTAATCTGGCTATCAGTTATCCAGTTCCATCAATAATCCAGCACTAATTTCGGCTAGCATAATTTCAAATTTCATCATTATACTGACTTAAATCATTATACTGACTCAGAAATTGTACAGATGGTTGTAAATCCACAGCAGCAAGCCAGTGGAGGAGAAAGCAGTGATGAAAATGAGGAAGACGTAGCAGTCTCTCAATTGATAAGTTAATTAAGTTTATTCTAACCTAACCACTGTATTCTAGTACACTACAGGTCCCAATGATGCCAGATTAGTGATGGCCAACCTGTATTACTATGGTTTTAAGGCTAGAAGGACACTCTTTGTGATTTTAATGTGTACCTGCATGCTAGCACAGTGTGTAAGTACATTTAGGTACAGGTACACATAAGTATAATTATCAGAGTACAGCCTCTCATTTAGTGACGTACTCGTTTACCAATTCATTGGACTTACGACGGGCTCTCTGACCAGTATGCATGCCTAAGTAACGTATAATAGAGCTGAGTTCCTCTATTCTGTTTATTACAATATACAGTACACTACTGTATAATTTAAAAATACAGTGGTACCTCAAGTATTGAACAGCTCGCAACTCGAACAATTATGTAAGTGTATTTTTGTAAGTGCTTTTCTAAGTGTACTTTTGGGGGTCTGAAACTAATCTAGTTTACATTATTCCTTATGGGAACAAATTCGTTCGGTATTGGCACTCAAACAGCCTTCTGGAACAAATTAAGTTCATAACTCGAGGTACCACTGTAAAATGTTATACTACATGCAAATGGTGCAAAGGTGACATTAAAGCAATATCAAAGAGAGTTGACACTGCTCATGGAGAATGTAAACAAACTGTGTGGGGCATGCCGTATTAGAAAGACGGGGAGCCGTGTAGCGAGTTTTGGTCATACCTTCGAATCACTGTATTAGCGGAACGCCATAAAGAGAGGCCTTATTGCACAATAAACTACTGTATAAACATTTAAAAATATACCAGAAATGTTATAAATGGTGCAAAGGTGACATTAAAACAATATCAAAGATGGCTGACACAAACCCACTACCATTATAATATGCTCCTCACTTAGCACTGAATTCGTTTACCCACGTGATCTTCGGAATAGAACTACATCATTAAGTGAGGAGAGACTGTATATATGTCTTGCTGAATAGGTTAAAACTTGCAATTTTGGCTTAAATAGCAACATTATTCTTGCCGAATAAGGCAGCGAAAATTTGTGTATGTAATAATTTCGCAAAAATCATTCTGAAACTAACAAAAAAAATATATTTCATTGTGTCTGTTTATTATTAAATTATTGTAAACTTATAAGAACATAAGAATGGAGGAGCACTGCAGAAGGTCTATTGGCCCATACAAGGCAGGTCCTTATCAAAACCACCACTACCCAAAGCTACCCAAGAATTTACTCCCTTACCCACAACACTAATCAAACCCAGCCTCTCCCACTAATATATTTGTCCAATCTCTTTTTAAAGCCACCCAAGGTCCTAGCCTCTATCACCCCACTCGGAAGATTGTTCCACGCATCCACAACTCTGTTCAAAAAACAGTACTTACCTATGTCCTTTCTAAATCTAAATTTATCTAACTTAAATCCATTATTTCTGGTTCTTACCTGGTTCGATATCCTCATAGGACAGAACTCATCTAGGCTTTACCTTTCTTCTCCCTATGTGAGTTTTGTCCTACGAGTTTTTCTTTTGTGCTTTTGGTCCCATCCTCGTGGGCCTTTAGCTCTCCTTCATTGATCTTTTTTATTCTTTTACTCTCTTGTCCTTACACTACCTCCACTACTACTATTGCCTCACTTATATTCCACTTCCAGTATTATCTAAAATATATTTAGTTAATTAGGCTAAATTAAATTGCACTTGTTATAATAAGGTCAGATAAGTTTTCCAAGGTTCTTTTTGTACAAAATAATTAATTTTTACCTATTCGGCATGACGTTATTTATTTATTTTCATTTTATAGCAGTAGCCTGAAACATAACCTGTTGTATAAACAAGGCCCTCCTGCATAATATATAATTAATTTACATAATATATAATACATTACATGTAATACAATACATAATATAAACTATTCCTGGCATGTCTCTTAAAATTTTTACATGGCATGTGACCTGACTATCTTCACTACATTTCTATGCTCAATAAGTAGGGTCATACAAGATCATATCTCAGATTTTTATAAATTCAAACACACAAATTACTTGTAAATAATTCAAAAGAATATATTTATTTATGAATGTTTTTGTCTTCTGTCTATATTTAAGAACTATCTGGTATATTACTTATTGTCCAATTTACTTGAACTAATAGGCTGTTTTATGATAAATATAAAGGATTGCCAGCTACTTACCCGAGGCAAAATGTTCGCTACACAGACGTGCGTAGCCAGATGGCACCCAGTTTCGTCTTCTGATTGCAGCTATCCACTTTTCCCTACGGTCTTTCTTGACAGGAATACGATAAAAGGACACTCTTGGTTTCTGCCCCCTTCTGTTTTTACATCCCACAGCACTGCAGGTCTCAGGCATTTCAAAATCCTTCAAATAAGCACTCTTTTTGCCTTGACTCACATGAATTATACACTATCACTATCATATGCTTGACCTGCAACATATTTGAAAGCTAACCCTGTGATGTTGAATACACTCACTATAAACACAGATACAGTAATATAAAGTCTCAGAGTCTGTGGTGGTGTCAGACCACACATCCACAAACTCACTACACTGCTAAATACCGAGTTCTTACAAAATGAACCTCAACACAGACCTAAGCTCTTACACCAAAGCTTAATCATGTACATGTATACACGTGTGTTAGCTCCCATTTTACGAGTCTTATCCTGGGGAAATGAACAAAAGACCCTAATGGAAATAAACCAAAGTGATTAGCTTTTTTACTTTAACCTTGGTTACTAATCCAAGTTAATAATCCAAATTATTTTATTCATTTATGCACCTGGAGAATGGAGAGTAATTATGTTTTATCCCAAGAAGAGACTAGCTCAAATTTCTTGGAACAAAAGCCTTTCAAATGTTTGGATTTTTAACCCCAGAGGGTTAGTCATCCAGGATAACCCAAGAAAGTCAATGTGTCATCGAATGACTGTTTGTCTTATTTTCATTGGGGTCTTCAATCTTGTTCCTCAGGATGCAACCCACACCAGTTGATTAACACCCAGGTACCTACTTGATTGCTAGGTGAACGAGGCAGAAGGTACAAGGAAACACGCCCAATGTTTCCACCCTAGCCGGAGATCGAACCAGGGACAGTGTGTGAAGCAAAAGCGTTGCCTATCAGGCCATGGGACACCCAGTGCTAAGCCTCTAGGGGTCATACGGTGCCTGGGGAATGGGAGATAATCAGGTTCAATCCATGGATGGGTAGGTCAGGTTCAATTCCTTTGATCAGGAGCTTCTCATTAACACCAAGTAATGTCACTGGAGAGGTCAAGAGCCTTTCAACATCATGGTACCTTACCTTCCATACAGGAACCATGAGTGGGAGGTTGCCCCCTTCCAATTGAAGTTGGGAGTCAGGTTAGTAATTAACTACTTATGTGTTTGTGGTCTGATATCACCACCAATCTCATAATCCATCCATACTTATTATTGCACCTATTACATACATAGAACACTTAACTCTGATATTAACCCTCCCCTCAAACATCTTGCCAACCTCAACAGAACACATGACCATAACACAAGGCACAGATCACTCTTTGATGTTCCTCGTGTCCATCTCACGCTATGCAAAAACTCAATGCACATAAAAGGCCCTAAAATCTGGAATTCATTACCTGTAAATATAAAAGAAACACTACCTGTTTATAAATTCAAGTCTCTTCTCAAAGATCACTTACTCACTCAAAACCAAATAAATACTGAATAACTGAACCTTATAAATTGTATATCCTATATGTTACTCACAATTATATCACACAAATGTTAAACCTAGGACCCAATCTAACTTATTATTTTTTTAAATACACTACCTAACAGAATACTCCATTCGACTGAATGTACAGCAATGCATGCAACCATATGACCTGTCTTTGTAATACTCATTTGTGCTTTATAGTTATCTGTTTACAATAATGTTTTATCACTGATTTCATCATTGCTTAGTTAATCTTAAGTTAATTTTAAGCCAGCCCGTAATGCTATGCATATAAGTGGCTTTGGCATGCTGCTCTTACCTGTGTTTTTTGTACCTCTGTATGTATGCTTAAATTACTAAATAAATAAATAAATAAATAAACAACTCTTGAGAAAAGAAACACTGGCTGTGATTAATGCTTCTATGTACTACACAAGTTTTGTAGCTTAATAATAAAAATCCATTTCTAAAAGTACATGTACAGGCCTAGCTGTCATCAGTGACATACTACTACACAGAAAGCCTCTTGTTATGCAAAGTAATTTGGGCAAATTAAGTCAATTTTGTCCCCAGGATGTGACCCAAACTGGTCGACTAACACCCAGGTACCTATTTTACCGACAGGTGAACAGGGGCAGCAGGTGACTTAAGAAAACATGTCCTAATGTTTCCACCTGTACTGGGGATTGAACCAAGGACCTCAATGTATGAGGCGAGTGCTCTAGCAATCAAGCTATGGTTCTTTGTGGTAATTAGTGTGACTGGCTTGTGGATGTTTGTTTGTGGTATTATGTGACCTGCCTTTATGTTTGTTTACATTGGCATTTTTCTTGGTTTTGGAGACTTCTAGAATATTTTTTTTATGGCTAATAGAAGGTCCAACAATTAATAGTTTAGTTATAATCAGCCTAAACATTTAAACCAAACAAGTAAAATTGTAATGTTTTGTGACAATTCATGACTGTAAACTCAATGCTATTGTTCTGAATTAATAAGTTTTGCAAATAGCTCAATATCACTGTAGCTTGCTTAGCAGCTACAATGTTGGGGACCAACCTTGGACTTATTATGTGCCTTTAACACTTTGGCTACCACCCACAGGATGGGTATGGGTTCCATAATAAACATATCAAACTATCAAGTTGTGTATGTCTTAAATTAGCATTTATCTAATGTTAGCATTTTGGGATTGGATTTGTCACTCTGACTTTTTTTTGGGTTATGCTAGGTTCTCAACACATATGCTGCTATGTATGATAATCTATGTAACTGTATTTGTGTATACTTATAATAATAATAATAATAATAATAATAATAATAATAATAATAATAATAATATCTTTATTTTACTACAAGTACATGTACAAGGTTATACAGTCCTAGCTGATAACAATGACATACTACTATATAGAAAGTCCCTTGTTATGCTCCGCATTTCGGGCAAATTAGGTCAGTGTCCCAGGATGCGACCCACACCAGTCGACTGACACCCAGGTACCCATTTTACTGATGGGGAATATAGACAACAGGTGGAAAGAAACACGTCCAATGTTTCTACTCTGGCTGGGAATCGAACCCAGGCCCTCACCGTGTGAAGCGAGAGCGTTAACCACCAGGCCACCAGAGCCACTTACTAATTTTCCTTCCATCATCCAACATTTGGATGCAGCTGTCCAGGGTTATGGACTATCAAAAAAGTCAGTACTCAACTTAACCTACTTTAATACAATTTACCTTGCTAGTTCTAGCATCAGGAATTTCTAGTGTAGCATTTGGGGCCTGGGTAAGCTGACCATTATTGGCTGACACCTGTAGACCTTTCTGCAGATGACTGACATTTGCTCGCCTCTACAACTATATCTGGACATTTTCTTTTAACAATGACGCCACTTCGAAAGTTTGAGCATGATTTATATTTGATACATGATCACGAGCAAAGAATATCTATTCAGAGAATATGTTGAGCCTGGTAGGGCAGAACAATAATCTTACACCCACTTCACCACCAGTACAACAGTACTGGTGCCTGGACCATGCCAACAAGCCTGGTACCACAGTATTAATACCTGGACCAGCAAGCTTGGCACTTCAGTATTAATACTTGGACCAACAAGCCTGATACTGCAGTATTAATACTTGGACCAACAAGCCTGGTAATGCAGTATTAATACTTGGACCAACAAGCTTGGTAATGCAGTATTAATACTTGGACCAACAAGCCTGGTACTGCAGTATTAATACTTGGACCAACAAGCCTGGTACTGTGGTATTAATACTTGGACCAACAAGCCTGGTACCGCAGTATTAATACTTGGACCAACAAGCCTGGTACCGCAGTATTAATACTTGGACCAACAAGCCTGGTACCGCAGTATTAATACTTGGACCAACAAGCCTGGTACCGCAGTATTAATACTTGGACCAACAAGCCTGGTACCACAGTATTAATACTTGGCCCAAACAACCCTGGTACCGCAGTTTTAATATTTGGGAAACCAACAAGCCTGGTACCGCAGTATTAATACTTGGACCAACAAGTCTGGTACCGCAGTATTAATACTTGGACCAACAAGCCTGGTACCGCAGTATTAATACTTGGACCAACAAGCTTGGTAATGCAGTATTAATACCTGGACCAAAAGCCTGGTACTGCAGTATTAATATGTACTTGGACCAACAAGCCTGATACCACAAAATTAATACTTGGACCAACAAGCCTGGTACCGCAGTATTAATACGTGGCAATAAATAACTGACTTTTTTGGATTATCCTAGGTAATTTACACTATGTATCACAACTGTACTTGTGTGTTCTGTGCCTAAATAAACTTACTTACTTACTGAAGCATTAACACCTACACCACCTGGACCTGTCTCTTCTTACCAAGTTTAATTAATTACTGGTAATGGTCACAATACCGAAAACAGTTACTTAACAAATGAAACATTACCTTTACCAAAAAACATCACTCTATGTACATACTTAATGATAATAGATGACAGTCCTACCTGTAATGAAATGTTCGCTACACAGACGACTGTATTGTGTTGGCTCCCAGTTTTTCCGCCTCAAGGCAGAAATCCATTTTTTTCGTCTTTCTAAATCCTTGGGGAACCTGTGGAATGCTAGATTTAGCTTATCACCTTGTCGATTACTACATCCAACAGCACAACAAAAAATAACCATTGTAGTGGACGACAAGACGATTAAAATCTGAAAACATTGAGGGTAAAATGTGCATTGAGTTAGGCTACACGTCCAACATGGCTAGAATACCAAGCAACAACTTGTGACGTCACATGCTAAAAAACACTCATCGTGCAGATTTATTTATTTATTTATTTATTTATTTATTTAAAAATTTGAGCACACATACAGAGGTACAAAAAATACAGATAAGAGCAGCATGCCAAAGCCACTTATACTATGCATAGCATTACGGGCTGGCTTAAAATTAACTTAAGATGAACTAAGCAATGATGACATCAGTGATAAAACTTTAATGTAAACAGATTACTATAAAGCACAAGTGAGTATTACAAAGACAGGTCATATGGTTGTATGCATTGTTGTACATTCAGTAGAATGGAGTATTCTGTTAGGTAGTGTATTTAAAAAATAATAAAGTTAGATTGGGTTTTAGGTTTAACATTTATGTGATATAATTGTGAGAAACATTTAAGATATACAATTTATAAGGTTCAGTTATTCAGTATTTATTTGGTTTTGGGTGAGTAAGTGATCTTTGAGAAGAGACTTGAATTTATAAACAGGTAGTGTTTCTTTTATATTTACAGGTAATGAGTTCCAGATTTTAGGGCCTTTTATGTGCATTGAGTTTTTGCATAGTGTGAGATGGACACGAGGAACATCAAAGAGTGATCTGTGCCTTGTGTTATGGTCATGTGTTCTGTTGAGGTTGGCAAGGAGATGTTTGAGGGGAGGGTTAATATCAGAGTTAAGTGTTCTATGTATGTAATAGGTGCAGTAATAAGTATGAATGTTTTGTATGGTGAATAGGTTTAGTGTATTGAATATTGGTGGAGTGTGCTGCCTATAGTGAGAATTTGTTATCATTCTAACTGCAGCCTTTTGTTGGGTAATTAGTGGTCTGAGATGGTTACTTGTTGGCAATATAAACACAAATGCAGTATAATGTGATCCTTTATTGACTACGTTTCGCCCACACAGTGGGCTTTTTCAGGTCACAAACAGAACTACCTGGGGTGGAAGGAACGCGAGTATTTATAGTCCGGCTGAGGTCAGGTGAAGAATGCTGCATCTGATGATGTACCGAGTTGGGTTGTAGAGTCTAAAAACTTGGGTAGCTTGGAAAGGAGACTGGACAAGTTTGTGAGCAGACCTTCTACAGTGTTCTTATGTGGGATAGCGATGAAGAAGTTTCTTGGCAAGTGGCTTCTATAACATAGCTGAACCACTTGCCAAGAAACTTCTTCA